GGCGGACATTCGAGAGCGATGCTAACGAAGAATCGGCAGCGCCAATGAAACTGGACTTGCAGGAAGAAAATGCAAACTCCAGGCATGCGGCTATGCGGCATCAGGCCATCATGTCAATTGACATGGGAATTTGGAGAGATATCATTGACGCTTTCGAGATAAAAGAGTCAATAATGCCCCATCGCGAGGAAGAAGAAAGTACTGGCGGGCCGGGCGCTCAGGGTTGGTACTCATAAGGGTGAGTCTGCCCAAATGTAGATCAACACCAGAGAGTAACCCGTTTTCAGGGCCACGTACCTGAGTCGGGTGTATCCTCGCCTAATACACTTGTTGGGAGAATCCATGGTGTTTTCTTTGTTGGAGGGGCGCGCTGTCAGGACCCATGTGTCTGTTTCCGGAAATCTTCTTGGTCACGTCTTTGACACATTGTCACGGGTATGTCTTTGAGCTCTGTCGTCAATCTGGATGTTTTTTTTATCATGATCCTCTTCCATTCCGCTTTATGCGAAACCATCTTTCGCAGCCATCTCTCTACCCGACGGACCGAGCTCAACGGCATCAGGAAAATACCAAAACGAGGTTGCTTGGATCGCAAGCTGTGAATTTCCTCACGCAACAATCGGCAGAGTATTCCGCTCAGTCGGCTTACGTTGCGACAATGTCAGACGACACCCAGGAAGACGCCCAGTTAGAGCTGGTCCCGAGCGCCGCCAATACAGATTCTGCGGATGAAGATTCAATGATATCCCAGCGCACGCAATTAGTGGAATTATACTCAGGACAACCCCCCGCCGACATTCCCCCTCCTTCGGTTCCATCCCATGACAACGGGTCACTGCCAACGGGTGGTTCAGGGGAAGGAGAGCCTACTGCCTCTGATGGGTCACAGGAAGGGGAATCTCTCAGTGTTGGCGAGGCTTTTGGGAGCTTCCCCGCCGACAGCCAGCTGGTTCATCAAGGCGATGAAGTCTTGAGTTACTCCGATGATGAAGACGACGAGGAAGACAACAGGGAAGACGACAGGGAAGACGATAGGGAAGACGAGGAAGACGAAGAGGCATTCTTCAGCTTCTCTGATGGTGAAGACGGCTATGACAGCGAGGGGCCCTTGGCCTACGTCCCTTACCCTTACGACGACCCTCCACCCTGGAACGAAGACGAGCACTGGAGTGAGTCCGAAGCAGGTGTTCCCTCTACAGACAGTGACGACTATCGGGTACCCGAACTCGGCTGGTTTCACGATGAGGGCAGGCTTCCAAGAACTGAGATACAGAAGGCGTACACGGTCAAATTTCCCATCGGACATGTCGGCCAGCGCGAGGATGGCATCAGTGGCTATATCCCGCCACAGAGACGACAGGAGAGGTCATGGCTCGATTACCGGAAGGGGATCACGGTGCCGCCGTCCGTGGGAATGCTGGAGAACATTGAGGGGGCGAGGGAACTCTGGGACATGGCCAGGCGACTGGGTGAAGCAGATCTGCTCGAGCGCATCGTTTCCTATTATGACCACGCCATGGACGCCAATCTGCAGGTCGCAGATGCACTCCTGCTAGCCCACAAGCAGATTCGTCACGACACCGTATGGATACGGGGCGTCGACAGGTTCTTCCAGGCGATGGAGGGCGCAGATCCAGAGTCTGCCCGAGGTATTCAGCTGATCTTGGCTCGCGCCGTATTGGCAAACTCGAAACTCCGCGACCAGATCGACATGCTGAGGCAGGGGATTGACCCCGACACGATGGAGTTTGCTGTACCAAAGCGGCGTGAGCAACACCAAAACTCGCCCGCCGAAACGCCAAAACTTGAGCCTTCCGGCGCCAGCAGCGAACAGGATGCCGCGGAAAACGCAGTGACGTGGTCCCAGATAACCGCGGAGGACAGGGTCAAGGAGCTCGAGGCCGCAATAGAAGTGTACTCGAGCCAATGGTGGACCTTGCAAGGCGCCGACCACGAGCTGAGGGAACAAATTGCTGCTGTCTTCCGCGACACCAAAACGGCTCCAGAAGACAACAGCGGGGATCTTGTTGCCAGTCTCCAAGACGGAAATGTACCCCAGGATATCGTCAACTTGGTCAGAAAGAAGGTGACTGCTCTCAGAGAACGGGCAACCCAAGCCGAGACGAGAGCGACCGAGCTGCAAAAAGAGAAGGAAGACCTTCAAAGGGATCTGGACGACGAAAATGCGCATGCCCGGATGATTGAGGGAATAGCGGAGAAGTACGAGAAGAGAATTCGCAACTATCAAAGGGAGGCCAAGAGGCTGAAAGCCAAGGTCGGCATACCCATAGACCACCAGTTTCAGAAGTTTGTGAAGGCCGTGAAGGACGCCGCAGGGGCGGCAGGGGCTCCCCAGAAGGATAAGGAGGGCAGAACGGCGGTCGAAAGGGCGATCGAGGCACTCATATCAGCCCTCCAGAAAATCGGGGACCTCAGTCTCCCAGCCGGTCCGTCAAAGTTCGCAAGGTTGGCGATGGGAGGCCACATTGCAGACGCCAAGAGGCAGGCGGATTACATCAAGACCTGTGTTCTCGGCCTGTTGGGGGAAGTGGCGAAATCACAGACCATGGACACGATGCAGGCAAAGGAAATGGTCAAGTACATGGCAGAAAACAGGCGACTCAACGACGAGCTCATTGGGCGCATGCACCAGAATTCCGACCTCAAGGAAGAAATCCGCGAGTTGGAAAGAAAGCTGTTGGTGCTCACCAGATTCCAGAAGGAAGCCGACCCCTGGAAGAGCCGCATCCAGGAGCTCGAGAAGGCAGATGCGGCGAGGAAGGAGACGATGGCAAAATACGAGGAAATCTTGGCGAGGATCCCCGTCGACGCGGCCGTGGCCTTCACAGACGAGCAGCTGCAGCACCTCATCGAATTCCTCCCCACGGTGTCTGCATACTATGAAGAGCAGGGCCACCTGGATAACGCCATCGCCCGCGCCCAGGACATCGTGGCGAGCGACAACGCCATGTTTAACGAGATGATAGCGCACTTGGTCAAGGCCTTTGGCGAGCAAGCCCTGCGGCAGGAGATGTGCAACGCCGATATGAGACGCACGAGGGACCGCATGGACGTGTTGGAGATGCAGGCGAAGCGACTCAAATCTGATAAGAATTTCCTGGTTTTGGACCATGCGAAGCTCGACAAGGAGCGGGAACAGGTGAAGGCCATGGCAGATGCTCAAAAGGCCGAGATCGAGGCGGCCGATCAAGAGATGAGGCGGCAGCAAGACGAGGCCGCTCAGCAAGTCAACCAGACGGCAAGGGAGCTCGCCGAACAAGTTGAGGCCGTCAGAAAGCTCAAGGAAGAAACCAAGGCGGTCGCGCAAGAGAAGAAGGAAAATTACAAGGAGATGGTGGCACAACTGGAGGCGAAGCAAAAGCAAGCCGAGGAGGAGATTGAGAAGATGAAGCAGAAACTCGCCCGGCAGGCCGAAGCCAATGACCGAGCCGCAAAGAGGCTCGAGGAAAACAGGGAGAGGCTCGAACACGAGCGCGAGACAGAGCGACGAGAGATTGACAGGTGGATCGAACGACAGAAGGAGCTTATCAAAAAGAGGGACGAGCTCCTCAGGTGCGAACAGGAGCTTGCGGCCATTACTGAAGCTGTGAAGAAAGACCGGATCATAGCCAGAGCCAAGATGACACGACTGAGACTGGACCTGGCATCCATGGCTTCACGTCTGGCCAGCGACATCGAGCGGAAGAAGCTGTTCGCGGCCAAGACGACCGCCAAGGAAGTCGAGGAAATGCGCGAGGAGCTCGAGAAAGAGGCCCGACACCCCCAAGTCTGCTTCTGCTGGCTGCTCAAGTTCTTCCTCCCCGACGTCCACAAGTCCATCATCGCATGCGAGGTACACCCTCCCAAACCACGCCGCCGCGCAACCCAAGGCCGACCCCTCGGCCTCCGCCCGCAGATGCTCTCGGATTTGCTCGCCCGGGCCGAAACCCCGTCCGACTCCTCCGTCTCCTCCTTCTTCGACGACGAATCCGGCCCCGAAATCGGCCCCAAACCCGGCCCCTTCCCCGACACCTCCCCTGCCATGTCCCACGGCCACGGCCACGGCCACTCCGCGCTCGCCTCCATCTGGCCCTACCTCTGCCAGCTGCTCACCTCCTCCGTCTGGCTCGTCCTGCTCTTCCTCCTGCAAGCCCGCAACTTCTACGATCTCTTCTGGTTCAGCGCCATCGTCATCGCCGGCTTCCCGCTCTACCTCTTCCGCGTCGCCCTCTACCTCGTGCATACCAACTATCGCCGCACTCGCCGCTCGCTTCCTGACTTCCTGCGGCGCATCTTGCCGCTCGCGGGCAAGTATCGCGAACCGCCTGAGTTCTGGTTGCTCAAGACGCCCGAGGCCTCGGCCATCGTCGGGATCGTGGTCATGACGTGGTTTGCGCTGACGGTGTTGGCGGCGCAGGCGGTTGATGTGGAGAGGAAGATATGGATTGGGAAGAACGACTGGCGCGGGGCGTATCTAAGGGATATCGGGGAGGTGAGTCCGTATCCGGGGTGGTGGCCGGTGGAGGTGGATTTCAGGCTGGCGATCGAACCTGTGTTGGGGCCGGCGATCGAGTTGGTACATTTTTTGTTGTTTGAAATGAAGAAGGGGTCGAAGTGGCACAAGGCTTTTGCGAATAGGGCGTTGGAGGTTGTGAGGGGGTGGATGTGATATAATTCGAGCGTATTGGAGGTTGTTAAAAGGGTATTGGAAGGGTATTGGAAGGGTATTGGAAGGGTATCAGAGGGGTACTGGAGAGGTGCTAGAGGGTATTGGGAGGGTATTGAAGGATTGTTAGAAGGGTATTGGGTTGGATACCTTGAACAGGAGATGATGAACAAACAACAGCCAACTCGTTGGGATTGCTATCACTTGTGAGATGTGCCTTGGACTCCTTGACACCGCGAGTAACCCCGAGTGCGTACAACAATATGGAAAGATCAGGCATTCGTGTCTTCCCCTAGATAAGTGGTGTGAAACTGAGTCAAAATCAAAAATCACATCCCCCGTGGCGCAACTGGCTAGCGCGTCAGACTGTTATCTCTTTTCTTCTCTTCAAGAGAAATAAGACGAAAAAGACATCTGGAGGTTCTCAGTTCAATCCTGAGCGGGGGAGTACAATTCGCAAACACAGGGAGTTTCCTGGGTTCGCTTCTTTTTTGGTGGATTTGTTCTGTGAGGTGGAGTGGGTGGAGGTGAGGGTATCACGAAGGAGGGTCCACATCGACTCTTGTAGATGTTGTTGACTTGCCACATGTAGGTGTGTTTCGCTTTCATTTTGACCAAAAAAAGAAGTAAAAACAATGCTTGAGCTTTCGATGTCGTCAACAAGGCTCCAGTTCGAAGTTGGTCCAAGGGCACCATCGGCCCGTCCCGTTGGTGTTCAGGGGTTTCGTTCAGGGGTGAGCCGCCTGGGAAGGAACCGCCAAGACATCCAACAGAACAAGCCACCAACAACAATTGGTCCCCAAATGGCGGCGCAGCGTTCTCGATCCTGGGTCTTGAGGACATCGATCCCCGCATGGCCAAACATTATGGTGACTTGAATATACCATACGAACTGAATGAAGCGATCTTTCCACTCCGCGCGTCGCCGACATGGAGGACGACCCCAACGCTCCTGCCGTTGTCAACGGAAGCCGTGAAACAGCAGCGCTCCTTGCCAATATCCTGGATGAGCTTAAAACCATCCGCAAACAGACAGGCCAACCCCTCTCTCAACCCAGCAACGACTGCGCTCGCTGCAGCCAGGAAACAAAAGATATCGAAGACGATACTCCTACAGGGCAGCTCACAAAAGAGGCAAGAACCGGACCTATCCTCTGCGAAGCCCTCCGACGCTACCGAACCGACTCGGTGCCGCAATGGTCCGCTTTCTACGGAGCTCACGTCACTTCGCCGCCGCAGTCTGACGGCTACGGCTTCAAAGATCAAGAGCGCAGATCAGCATGGAACTCGCTCATCGGCGAGACTTGGCAGATCCCGCACGACAACCGTATAAGCCTCTGCTTCTTGAGCGCCCCGACTGATCCCATGGTGCCATCCCGCGTTCGGAATTTCTTATATCATTTTCACGATGCGCATGCGAACGAGTCCCCGAGGGGGAGGTACTTCAACATCTGGGATTGGTTTGACTCTGGGATTTCAGCCTACTGGTACCCGCACAAGAGCTCGTCGGACCTAGACCTGGACATGGAAAAGCGAGGCCGGATTGAGGATGGGCTTACTGGCGCGAAGGAGGAGACGTCCGCGCTGGCGCCAATGGTGGCGCCGTGGAGGAGGATGATCAATTTCCAGGGGCTGACCACCGTTCGTAACTGCGAGTCGGGTGAGAAGAGGAGCACGGTGACGGATGAGGACCTGTGTCCGTTTTTGTTGCCCAAGATGGATGAAGCGATATTCGAGCTGCCAGTGAACAACATCATCTGGCGCGCGGTTCGCAACCATTTACAGAGCAAGCGGGCGACTGAAGCGAACCATTCTGAGCTCTTGGCAAAGGGGTGCATTCTGTTCCATCTCACCTTTTACGAGATTATCGGTCCCGATTACGCTCCTGGCTTGACCGAGCTCTGGCCTTGTGGAGAGCTGTATTCCAATGGCGAGGAACCTAGGAACAGAAGGCGGCGGATTAGGGAAAGCTCACTGACGGTGAGTGAACTTCATAACCTTGCGCTCGAGGTTTTCTGACCCCTCTTAGATAATCGCCGCCCCTGGCAGTGAAGTTTCGAGCTCGAAGGCTGCACGGTCAATCTTCTGGACGATGATATGCCTCAGACCTCTGCATTTTCCCCACCCCTACTACTTCGAGAGGCGTGATGACCTATCGCAGGGCAACCATCACGAGATGATCGACGACATGAGCGATGTAGCCCACAAGTGCCTTCTGTCCGTGCTGGACAAATGGGAAGAGATCGCCGAGTTCTTTGATGAGCTGTTGTGCGAAAAGAGGGCGCTCTTCGATCCGAACTATCATGACACCCTCCTCACCGACGACGTGGCGTTATCCCGATCGAAGAAGTACTTCTGGGCGATCGAGTTCCTCAAAGAGCTCGAAAAGAGTGTCACGGACAACATCCGCCAAGTTGACCGTTTCGCTGCGTTCCTTCGCGCAAACCCTCCGCCGACTAGTCGCAATTCGAGAGATTTCTCGGCGCGCATCCGGAAGCAATACGCTGCCCTCATCAAGCTTGAGGCCCTGAGGGTCAGATTCGCAAATAAACGAGAGGAGGCCGTTGCGCTGAGGGATGGGGTGAGTTGACACTCCTGGCCGACCTGATCAGAATTCCAACTCATACTCTCAGCTTTTCAACGCCAGCGCCGTCATAGAGAGTCGAATGTCGACAAAACTCGGGGAAAACATCAAACTACTGACTTTTGTTAGCATCTTCTTTCTCCCGCTCTCTTTTTGCACCTCGCTCTGGAGCGTCAACGATGATATCTTCCCACTCTCGGCATTCGTGGTCACGATGCCGGTCCTGTCGATTTGCACATATGTTATCAGCCTCAACCTGGACTACATTGCCACCTTTTGGCAGCGTCTTAAGATGCAAGCTTGGCCCCCTGATCCAGAAAGGAGGGAAGCAGCTCAAACCAACACTGAAAATGTGCGTCCCCGCCGTCTTCACTTTGCCAGCTTCTTGCCTGCTGCGTTACGGTCTAGGCTCTTCCCAGGCTTGCGACAAGAGGATACTCATGAGTTACCGCTTTCAGCGCGATTGGGGGAGATTCATGTCCAGATTTCGAGAGTCCAAACGGTGGAAGCAATCGATGCCCTCGCACGCAGCGAGAAGAATGGGCGCTCCACTTCAGATCCCTGGGAGCTGCGAAGAGCCGTCTACGTCCGACAGGCTTCAGAAAAAGCTTCCAATGGCACGGAAGATGGAATTGATGGACTGGGCACGGCCTCTTGAGAGTGCAGTTGCGAGCTGGTCCTGCTGTGGATGAGCATTGTATGGTGCACAGCAAATTGCGGCCCGGATCATTCCAAATGCAGTCCGCGGTCTTCTGCTCCTCCAGCCTCCATGGCTGGTGTTGTCCTTCTGATTACTTTGTGGCAGAAAATCCGCGGAGCAGAGAGAAATGTCAACTCACCGCCAATCAGACTGCTGAGATGCCGTGGTTTCTCAAATCTATTGAGCCAGATGATTAATCGCGGGTTGTTGGAAGAAACCGTACCTCCGAGGGTGGCTTACCGACAGACAGGGGACTGGCTCCAGCACATGATGCATGCGGGCTGCTTACACAGTAGGCAGCGGGTCGTTAGCGAGCTCGATCACGCCTGGCTCTGGGGAAGCTCAGGTCTGGAACACCCCGGTCATGAGCAGGCCCGTCAGGATTCCAAATTCAAATACGCAGTCCGCTGCCAGCAGCGCAAATGCAGCCCAATTGTCATTATTGCACGACATTTCCGATTATTACGCTGAAACGAGGAGCTTCCGGGTTCAGAAGTCGCCGAGCCAAGCAAGACTTTGAGCTCAAAGAGCTACGCCGCAAGCGGATAGCGCTTCACAGCCCAGTGGACCGAGGTCGTCTGCTCCACACCACGTCGCGATGCCGAGGACAGAGCTCAAGCTGCTCCGCGGGGTGCCATCGATGCGGTATCAATTTGTAAGTTGGAAAAATCACAAAGGGCCCATCCACGTTGAGGTTGCGTCACCAGTATATAGACGGCCATCTTCGCCCGCCTTTCAGTTGAGCTTTTTGTTTTTGAATCATCAACACAATCAATCAGCCCTCAAGCATCAAGCATTAACCTGCAAAGAGTCAACACTCATACCAGGCACATCGACCCCAGCAATCAACCTCGCGCTTACTCAGAACACCACCAGCTTGCGACTCGCCATACTCCAAGAGAGCTCCTAGCTTGACTGCATCACTGCTACCGCATACCCACCTTACAAAAAGGCGGCTCCTCACCGGCGCTCTTGTCCTCGGAACATCATTAGCTCTCTTCAGCAATTTCACCAGCGCCCAAAGCAACATGTCGTCCACATTGATTCCCGCCAATCCATCGGATGTGATGGTCATCCGCGATGTGACACCCAACGTGGTGACCTTGACCGTTCCGTTCCTGCGCTTCGGCAAGGTCCCGATTGGCGGCAGAGGCACGATCGGTATGTCTCACTCACACCAATAAGATGCAGTATCCACTCACTAACACAATCCAGTCCGACTTACCTCTGGCGCTCTCGCTGTGTTCTCCCCCGTGGCCCTCACCCCTGAAGTCAAGTCCAAGCTCGAATCCTTCGGCAACAATGTCCAGTATCTCATCGCTCCCGATATCGAACACCACATCTTCATCTCTGACTGGAAGACCGCATTCCCCGCCGCTAAGATCATCGGCCCTGAGGGATTGCCGGAGAAGCGCAAGGCCCAGACAGACGAAAAGATCGGCAAGGAAGACTTCGACGTTGTTTACAAGCCCAACACTAAGCGCACCACCTCCGTCAGTCCCGAATTCGACGCGGACTTTGAGGTCGAGTATGTCGACGGCCACGCCAACAAGGAAATTGTCCTGTTCTACAAGCCTGACAAGGTCCTCATCGAGGCTGATCTCTTCTTTAACTTGCCTGCTACCGAAGCCTACTCGCGAGTCCCGGAGGCGGACAAGCCCAAGCCGGGTTTTGTCGCAAAGCTCTTTATGAGCGCGCAGAAGGTCGAGGGGAATGGCCAGAAGAGGCTTCTCTGGCATGCCATCAGCCGTGGGAATCGGTCCTCGTTCAACGAGAGTGTGCAGAGGATCGCCACTTGGGATTTCAACATCGTTATTCCTTGCCACGGCGATGTAATCGAGAGCGGTGCGAAGGGCGTGTTTGAGCAGGTATTTGAGTGGCATCTCAAGGGCCGCAAGTAAGGGGCCTAGCATTTGGGTGCCGGCATATGGGTGGGATTGTGTGGTTTCTTTTGAGGTCAAGTTTGATACCATAGATGGGACTGGCGTTTTTGCATTTGTCCTTTGACCATAATTAATTAATTTTATTGGATAATATCTCATCGAAATATCATGTCATGTCATGCTCGTGATCTGAAATCCACTCGATTCTAACTGACAAGGGAGTCTCACTGTGTAAGTGATATGGAATACCCTAACCCTTATCGCAATCGGACCCTGAAGCT